GGACTGGGCTGGAGAGAAAAAATATGCATAGATCAGTTACGTCATTGGAAAGCTTAATCAGGGATGTGAACTCCCTGAAATTTGCAGCATCTTATGCATCTTACCCCATCAGTCCAACTGCACCCTACAGTGAGTATTACTGCTCTATGAAGATGTGTGAGTCATCACAACCTTTGGGACAGTGGAGAAAGAAGTGTCTGAGGCACAAAAAGACTGAGTGGTTCAGTAAATTGTCACTTGCTTTACTGCTGCATGTTAACAGAGGGCCAGTTTTGTCTTCAGAGCTTACTGAGGTAAGTGTGTCTACATTACACTCTAAAGTTAGGCTCAGAACTTGTCTGGTATCTGGGCCATGATTAATTATAACTGTCTCATGACAAGACACAGTTAATTCACAGGCTTTGACAAAGAAAAGTCACAGTTTTTAAGACAAGTCTTGGTGTTGTTGAATTGCCAAAACTTACCGGAGAAAGGGAGTGACTCTTCCAAGTCTCACTGTGATAAGTCTCACCCTAGGCAAGGTCTCTTCCTTAATGCTGACCAGGAAGCTGAGGCAGCCTAGCTTTCTAACACAGGCATTTAGATGTCTGAGGCTAATCAACAACAATACTGTATCACATATGGAGCAACTCTAAGATGTTCTACTTCGCTGGAGAAAAAGCAGTCTCCTTTGCAGTGCTGTCCTACCTAATAGTGAAAACAGGAAAAGCTGCTATACAGCCTGTTGTGCACCACCCCCACCTGCAGCTCTCTGACCTTGATGCTGACAGATGCTTCCAGGCATGGAGTTAACCCCACAGCATTGCAGTGGGACTTTTTGAACTGCAGAGCATGGGTCAAAACTGGCTTTTTTTGAGAAAAAAGAACAAACACATGACAAGCTGCTATCAGCAAACCCTCACCATCCATGAATTGAAACCTTTCCCTGGGCTGCAACACCTATAAACCGGAGGGAAAGGCTCCCTCCAGCTTGCCAAGAGATAAAATACAGACCTTTCCAATCACTGGCTGTAGAGGAAAGGACATCAGACTCAGAACTGGGAATGAATAAGTGAAACTGGCAGATACGGAGAGAAACTCGCAAGGACTTGCAGTGGTATATCAAATTAAGTGACAGGCCAGTTTTCTTTTGACTTTTTCCCATCCATAACCCTAAAATGACACAGGAAATTCAGCCATCATGTCTGGACTACTTTAGAGGACAATCAAGATCATTTCATAGGTAAATGTCCACTGTGGAATTTTTTCCAACATTTTTTCTACCCAGGGTAAGAAAGCAGCAGCTTTTGCTAATGGTTATTCAATGCATCTGAAGAGGCAGCTGAAATGAGAAAAAGGAGAAGACAGTGATCCCAGGCAAGGCTGGTTAATAGCGGCACGCAGTACTTTCTCTTCTTCACCTCGTTTTCCAGGCTGGCCCAGAAAAGCTCAGAGGGCATGGAGGTAGTGGGATGGAGATGTAGCTGACCTCATGCACCCCAAGGAGCCAGGGAGGTCAAAGTGGAAAGAATGCAGGAACAGGACAGGTCTTGGGCATCTTCTCTTCAGGCACAGCCAAGGGACAGAAGTGCCCTTTGGCACCCCAGAAAGACAGCCTTGTAGAGGCTGGAGGGACCAGAGGACTTTGGGAGTGTTACAAGAAGCTGCAAGTGGCAGCAGACATAAATGGAGCTGCTTTTGATGCTGAGAGCACAATGCTATGTACTCATGTCTCCCTTGCAGACCTAAAGCACTCTGGCCAGTCAGCCCTCTCCTTTCCAGACTGATCTGAAAGGTGGATTTGTTTAGGAAGAAATCACCTAATGGGAAGAACAGGCCACGAGAACATCTGTACAGAGGAGAATGCCTTGTTTGCAGATGTACGGATGTAGTTACTGGAACACAGATCTGACAGTACAATGAAAGTGTGCTGGTCACTAACCTAGATAAATGGTGGAACTGTATTTAAAAGTGATGACTGAGGCAGAAGTAAAATTTAGCTGCTGAACTATGTTAGCATTTTTACAATGTGCTTGTCTTCACAAGCAAGGGAGGCTGTAGCTTAGTAATACTATATCCTGCATGCAGAGAAACCTTCTCTGGAGTAATTGCACTAGGATAGACACTCTCAACTTTAAAATGTTCACCTTTAAAACATTCACCTTTCCTTTTTATTTCAGTAAAGGAGACATGATATTATAATATAAGATGGAAACTAACCAGAAAGGAAGTAATTTTTTTCTGTATTGATAAAGGGCAAAGCATAATAATAGGAGGGAGACCAGTCTTGAATCTAATGTACCAGACACAATTACTAGGATTGTCTCTCTTCTGCTTTCTCTCCCAGGCTCCAGGAGAAAGAAGAATCAATTAGCTCTCAACAGACGATGACCTTGAAGGATACAGCTTTAAGGGGGAAATATGCTGAGTAAGACAGAAAAGAGAGTAGAAGAAAAGGATTTGGAAACTCACAGAAGGGCTTGGTTTGGAAGCAGTACCACAGAATATGAAATGTATCAGTTCTTTTTTAGTTCTGCACCGAAAAAGAAAGTATTATAGTATGAAAGGGAATTTCTGGGAACAAGTTACCTCCCTCTGCCTGGAACAGCAAAAAGGACACTGAGGCAAAAGATGGGACAATTCAATTTACCGATGCTGCTCTCCAAGCCATCTCTCAAAATTTTATAGCTGTCAAAAGCACTCATAAAAAAAAAAAAAAAAGTTACCACTGATGCAATCTGTCAACCTCTCCAACAAATCTTGCTCTACATAAAATGCAACAACATGTTTGAAATGCAGCTGTTTCAAAAACCCCAAGACAGTGCTTTCAGAGCTGTCCAAATCGTTCTTTTCATGCTTACTTTAATTCTTAGGCAGATCTTACTTTAATTCTTAGGCAGATCTTCTGCAGTGCACTTTTCCAGCTCTGTTTTATTAGAGCTTCAGCCCTTTGCCACAGCCAGAATTACGCACCACGGTTATAATCACTGCGGGCTACACAACCTTCTCCCTTAATGCAACCTGAGTTCAAACTGATGCCAGTTCTCTCTCTCCTTTCAGTCTGTTCTTATCTGGAAGTCTATGATGTCTTAAAAATGCTAAGAAAATTAAGACAACAGTAGGAAACCCAACTCAACCACATGATTTCTGGACAACCATTTACTTCCCAGATGTAAGCAGATATGAAAGCAGATAATGGCTTTTTTTTTTTTTCCTGGTAACAGCTCCAAAGAGTTTTTTTCTCCTCTTCATTTATTTCCTAATGAGATGAGATTACCAGGTGATTGAGAAAGGCTTGCCTCAGATATGTAAATTCAGAAGGGTTGTTTTGACACAACCAGCTTTTGGTTGTTTCTCCCTAATGTAGGAAAGAGGCCATTTTGACTAGATAGTGCTCACTGGTCACTATACGGACCAAAAAGAGCTGTCATATCCTTAATGCCCCTTACAACATCCATAGCACAGAAGAGATTTTCTACATCAACAATTAAGAAAATATTACTGAGTTTGTATACCTGAAAAGGTAGTTAAGTGTCCCAGTAATTCAAATGACGTTTTACCTCCCACAGACAAAGCCTGCACAGCAGTATTTCCCTATCAGACTGTTTCCATCACATAAATTACTGTTAGTCCAGTATTCCATTGTCACCCATTATATAAGCAAAAGCCAGCAGGTATTCTACACAGATACCTAAAATTTCCTTTCTGTGATTCTGGAATCGTTCCTAACAGTCAGTTGATCAGCACCAGTCCTCGGCTGGAAGGATCTTTGCTGAAATCACTGTAATCATGCTCTTTTTCACTTGCAAAGATGCTGGCCCAATAATGTCCTAGCTAGTCCAATTGCCACGTATCTATACTGAGTCCAGTTTTGGTGGGGCTAAACTCAGAAGTGAATTTATGGTGCCTTCAGATTTGCAAGGTGAGGTCGAGCAGGTAACACCTACAAGATGCGTATCTTGGGGCATTACAGGGAAGGCACAAGAGAGAAGAATGTCCTGCAAGACAATTGGCAAGGAACTAAGCTGCACACTCTGATCACTGCAGCTATCTGAAGGAAACCACAGCCCTGTGCTGTTGGCGCAATAGCATGCTACCTTCTTTTTTTTTTTTTTTTTACAGGAGTTACACAATTTTATTCAGCTCAGAAACTGCTGGCTTGCTGTCCTCCAGACTTGATGGGTTAAAATGAGGAATGTCAAAGAAATTACATTTCAACAATGTGGTGTTCTGATGCTTTATGATCACCACTGAGAAAATAATCCAGGTACCCTGGATATTTTTTCACCTTAAGGATGAACAAAGAGTAATTTGAAAACTGCTTCATACTGCCTTTGCATGGACAAGAATCCCTTTTCTGAAATGCCCCACAGAAACCAATGAGGAATTGTCTCATTGTTCAACAAGATTCAGCACCTAGAGAAGGGGACAGATACAGAGAAATGCGTGCTACGCTCTTAAAAGAAAGGGAAAGATCACAGACTAATCACTTCCTTAGTAACTCCTGTTCACTAACTACAAATACACTGTCGCTCTTTCCCACCATTCTCCCTGATTGCTTCAGGAGGACAGCAGGGATGCCTGCCAACAGCAGACTTCAGGAAGGAGGTAGCAGAAATGCTCTGCAAGCAAGGCAAAGAAAATGAACACATAGGGAAGACCCAGTGCAGGACAGAAACCAAATTCGCAAGAGAAACAGGCTGACAGACCACATGGAATAGTATTTCAGGTAAACTCTTGATGTAAATCACATGCTTCCCTACAGGTGGATACAGAGAAAAAGATGGCACTAGGTCTTTACAGAGGTTCCGGATGAAGCTGTGCTCACTGCTATGTACAATTCACAAGAGTTCAGAAATGTGGTACCAATCTCAGCAGTCAGCACATGTCAGTCACATGACTCCCTGGGAGAATAGCTGCAGTTAGGGGCCTTTTTTTTTTTTCTTTTTTCTTTTTTTTCTTTTTTTTTTTTTTTGGGTGGAAGGGAAAACAAATAAAAAAAACACATAGCTTCTACTTACAAAGTTTTGGAGCAGTTTGGAGATTGGTTTCTGTTGCTTGTGCCTGAGATGCCTTGGTAGGCTCCGGGGAGGATGGTGACAGTGACGGTGCAGCAGAGGACCACAACCCAACATCTAGGATGCGGTTGTAGAGAGAAGGCTGAAGGAAGGGTCTGGAGGGCACGAGCGAGCTGTCAGTTTGCACTGTCACTTCAGCCTTGCTTTCAAGGCTAGGTATGGGGAAGCGTGAGGCATACACCTCCGAAGGCACCCAGGCAGACAGAGCTGTAGGATCCACAGTGCTCCTTGGGTCTTGTCCTATCCTCCCAGGGTCAAGGTGTGTAGGAGAGTCATACTCAAAAATCTTGTCCACAAAGACCCACTTGAGGCCAGCAATGCAGAGGCAGAGGCTGAGCAGGCAAGCCAGGATAGGGGCAATGCAGATCTTCTCGGAGTTGAGGCAGCCCTTCAGTCGCTCTGCCTCCAGGCACACACAGCAGGTCGCGGCCAGGCCTGCCACCCCTGAGACCCTGCTGTCCTCTCTGTGAGGCCCCGGCATGTTCTCCTCAGCCGGGAGCCCATCAAGGGATGCATCAGGGCTCAGCTGAGCCGAAGGGCTGGGGAAAGTCTCGGTGGCTACTTCAGACATGGTTGAGCTCTGACACAGCTCACCTCCAAAAGGCCTTAACTCTATCACAGTCCATTACTGTGAAACACAGACAAAAAGAGACGGAGTAACAGTCACAGCGCTCAGCAAAAATCACAGGGCAGGAGTCAACGAGAGGTCCGAGCTCAGTAACATCATATGAACCAGGAGAAGAGGAACGCAAGGGAAAAAGGAGACCCTCCCACCCCCTGCCCAAGCCCTCTGCTGCTCACACTGCCTTGCTGAAGCCAAGGGCAGCTCTGCAGTCACTGCGCTCTCGTCTCCTGACCACTTTTACAATTCCTTATATGCCTCTCAAGCAATTCCAGCTCTTCTGAGTGAGGGAAGAAGCGTCCCCCCGAAAGCAAGCAAAACAAAACAAAACAGGGGGAAGGAGGGCGGGGAGAAAGACAACCACGAGCAGCGAACAAATTGACCGGATTAAGTGAACCAATAGCCCAGAGCGAAAGGCAAGACTCTCACCTTGAGCATCTGAGGCTGGTATCTGCTTAGGCGAGGAAAACAATTGTCATGCGGTAGAAGGAGCAAAAGCAAAATCTGTAACAACAGCGGCAGCGGCAGAAGTGACAGTAGCAGCAGCATCCTGTCGCGTTACAGCGGCGGCTGAAAGAGGCTGAATCATTACAGAGCAGCAGGTGCTCGCTGTCTGAGCATCACTGCAAACAATATCATTACACAGAGGTTTGAAAGGAAGAGCGATGCCAAGGCGATGGTAACTCCCTTTCTCTCCCCTCCCTCTTTGTCCTTCTTGAGCGCTCATTCACTTTCCTCCTTCCCCCCCGCCCCGCTCCCCCAGCCCCCTCGCAGCCTGTTTCTCTGATGTACAGGCTCACTCCTTCCTCCCGTCCCCACCCCCCGCCCTCTGCAGGGCTGGTCTGAGGGAAATCAGTGCACCCAGCAACGCAGGACTGTCAGTGACTTCCTATTTTATCCAATTAGGAAGAATAAAGGCCATCAAATCAAAGGGAGGGAGCGGGCAGGAGTTGCGCGCTGCAGCCCGCTCTCTTTCCAGCCGGAGCGCGGTCGGAGGAGGCAGACACCGGCGGGCGAGGACGGGTGTAGGTGGGAGCGCGCCGGGCTGCGCGGGGCTCGCCGAGGCTGGCAACACCCGATTCCTCCCGGGGGAAGCCCGCTTTCCCGCAGCAGCTTCTCCCCGCCTAACACCTAGAGCGTTTCTTTCCATGCCTCTGAGTAAGTTCGATCCACTAAGAATAACGCTGGGACTCACATTAGTTCAAGCAGCAAATAATAATAATAATAATAATAATAAAAGTAAAAAAAATCCCACTTCTGACAAATTTCCATTTCATTTATAGACATCGTTTTACATTAATATATATATATATATAGTCAGTTTTTAATTTTCTTCCAAAACAAAAAAAAAAGGCAATATAGCCAGCTCCCCAACATAATTCTCGAAAGGAGGTTGCTGCAAAATTATGTCCTCACTCCTTCTTAGAGTAAAATAAAAAAGTGAAAACCCAAAGAACTGTATTATTAACAAGACTTCCACTTTGTTCCTAAATGTGGCTGTCATTCCTCACTTCCACCAGAGTCTAGCACTAACTCCCATTCCTAAGAGCACAGAGTAAGGCAGGTAACAAAGCCTGGAACTGCCCTTATTCACTACCCCTCCTGTCTCCAACAGAAAAGTGCACCTGTGAGACAATATGTCTAAAGGGAGAGGGATTTTCAGCTCAGTTTCCTCAGCAAAAATGTCTGCACCAAAGGCTTGGCAGTACGAATACCCCTGCTACATTAGTGTAAATGATTGCAGGATACATAATGAAACAAAGAATCAAGTGCTTCAAACTGCCCTGAACTAATTTTTTTGCCAGTACCTTAGTTAGGTACCCAAAATGGAATTTCATTTGTAATGATACATTTTGGTAGTGATCAAAAAGATGCCTGTCTCTACTCATCTCTTTTCTCTGCCTCATAATCCTCCCATTCACAAAGACTTGCACGGGAACATTAATAACATTCACATTAAAAAAGGTTTATCAAAATCTCAATGATTCCCATACTGTTTTCACAGACTCTCCTGTCTAGGGCTAATTGATGGATGCCTGATCACACAGCTTCCTGTGAGACTGCAGTAGCCAACTGAAGTAATCATGATGCTACATTCAAGAATTTACCTTAAAGCACAGCCGGTGATAACAGTCCCTGGAAGAACGTAAAAAGATAAATCATCATACAATCAAGTCTACATTACTGCTGAAGTGTCTGGTCCTCAGGTTAATGATGTGATCAGCAGCCTCAGACAGAACGAACAGCTTGCATTCCACAGTTACATACACATCTCCTCTTATTATCAAGCACACGTGCTACTTAGCTGAAAACATTTTGCATGAGCGTAGTCTCTTTCAAGTATCTCAAAACATATTTCAAACAGCAGTAACAACATCACAGCCATAGAATAGGGAACATCAGAGCAGCCTTGTTGTGACAACAGTGATGGCCTGTGGGTACAAACAAGCAAGGTGCCTATGGAAAGACTGAAAATTTTCTTGGATTAATCTGGGAGGGAGACATACTTCCACACACACAGGTTGCTGCTCAGGTGTGAATATGAAGAGTTGCTCTTCAAAGCTGAGAACCAGCAGCTGATTGCTTGATGCAAGTTTTTTAAAGTGTCCTGACATCTTTATTCATGCCTTATTTTCTAACCTTCTTACTTCCAGTGAGAAGCTTTTCCCCGATGCTGCCTTTTTGAGCTGGTCTCTGTGCTACCTTCACACCATTGTCAGGTACACATTCTCTGTTCTGGCCTTCTGGGCTAACTTACCCTCCTCTAATACTCTCCTGTAATACTTTGCTCACATCTTCTTGCTGCTGAGGTGAATGGAAACATGCTTGGAGATCTGCACTTTCCTTGGAAGTCACAGCCACCACGGATAACGCTGTGCAGGTGGATGGTGGGACATCAGCCCACCACCGCTACTGACCTCGGTCGGCCCCGCAATGCGCGCAGCCGCGGGAGCGCGGTGGGGACATTCCAGAGCTCCCTTCACGCGGGTGCATCGCTCCCTCCTCGCCCCGCCGGGCATACTGGGCTGTGCCAAGCGGTCTGGCCTGACGAGGGCAGCCGGGGCGGCTTCTGCTGCTCCTCCCCGCGCTTCTCCTCGCTCCCCGTCTCGACGGCCGCAGCATCTCCGCGGGGCCTGGCACCCTGCCCGGCTGCAGAGCCCTTAGCTGCCGCACGTCCCTTCCCCGCGGCACCTCCGGACTTGCCCCAGCACCGCGCCGCCAGCTCCGCTCAGACCTCCTCCTTCTCCTCCTCCTCCTCTTTCTCCCCGCGGGGAGCCCGCGGAAGCACATCACGCCCCAGCCGCGGCGTTCCCGCCGGGCCCCGCTGTTCCCTTGCCGCAGGAGGGTTAAGGAGGGATGCTATACTGCATCACCCACCACCCGGTGCCTCTCTGGCACTGCTCCACAGGTGGCTGAAGGCAGGGCCGGGACAGCCCGCCTGGGATGCGCTGCTGGCCGGGGTCTCCGCTGCCCTATAGCAACGTGGAAATCCCTCCCGGCAGCTGCAGGTTGGGGCCTTTTGCATTTCTGTACTGGCACTGGCATGCTCAGCTTATCCATGGGTTATGGCCCACGCCGGGGAGATGAATGGTTTGGAAAAGAGCCAGCAGCTGGTTAATAGAAAGGAAAACCTGGGAGAAAGCAAGAGGCAGTGTGGACCTGAAGGTAACAAAACTTTACCACAGTTGCCCTTCTGTGACCAGTGCAAAACAAAAAGGAAGGAGATTACTTGCATGTTTGCAGCTAGGTCAGGTTCTAATGCAGAGATTTATTTCTGATTATTATACAGCTTGGATCGCCTCGGCTTACAGGAAGAAGTGGTATGATTCTAGACTAATGAAGCTAATGTGTGACTGATTTGGACTCTTGCCATGTGTAAGTGGCAGGTTGAAACACACTGGCTTATGAAACTGTAATTTTATTTTGGGGAGAGTTTTGGTAAAGAATCAGGCATTATTTTGCTAAATTCCATTCCCACAAGACTGAGAAAGAAACACAAGACATTAACTTTCAGCCTGAGATGGGGATGAACAAAATGTGTCTGCTTCTTTGGTTTTACAAGCCCTAAAAGGAGGCTGAATTTATATTACCTTGCTGTGGATGAACACCGTCTCTGGCCAGCCATAAAGACATGAATGAAACACGAGCAGATGCATAATCATAACTGACAGTATCCAGCAAATTATAGCAAATAGTGCCATTTCACTCAACTGGCCCCTTGCTCCTATCATAATCAGGCTCAAATCTGCTGAAGTTTTTGGAAAAATTAGGCCTGGCATTTTCATGGAAACCACTGTATTCCAAGTATCTAGAAATAAAATGTCTGCAATCCACATAATTCTCTAAGAATCATCTGCTCTTGCAGCTAATGGGACATGAGGAATGTAACCGCCTGCACAGGTGGTCATGTGCAATTTTCAGGTCTGCTGAGTCGCAGCTTAAGAAAGGATGCTCATAGGACCACAGGGCAAGTGGCCACCCCCCAGGCCATTGCTTTTTTTTTAAGACCACATCAATTCTTCAGAAGACACAAGCGGCAATATATGGCATTAATTGCTCCATCATATGTTCGATCGCACTCCCTTTTTTCCCCCATACATTGAGAAATTAAAAGCACCGTAACCAAGAAGCTAAGAAGAAAAAAAAGTGCATGTTCATTAATAAGAGATTGATGAGGAAGATAAAAGGATCTCTTTTTATTGATTGCAAGCACTTTCTTCAAATTAAATAAGTGCACTATTTAAAGATGGAAGGGTGACCCAAAGCGAGTGGGCAGGCTCAATAAGCAGCATCAGTGCCAGCGGCCATAGTGTGGGAAGAGCTGGCTATCGCACTTGGTGCAAAAAATTAATTTATTTCTCCTTTCAGCGCTCTACCAATCTCCTCTCTTTAATCCATCTCCCTTGGACTGACGCCAGCACTCTCTCCCTTTGAGTCCTTCCAAAAGC